ACTTTTTTTTGCTCCGCCCCCCCGCACATCCCGATATCCCCCCTTCCCCCCCCCCCCAGTCCCGATATTTCCCGTCAGTGATCTGGTCACCCTACTTAGGCTTGATTACTGTGACTTACATCTAGGAACAAAGCCACACACCCTGAAAAAGACCATTTGCTCAGCAAACCAGTGCTCCACTCTGAACTTGATCCAAAGCCCACTGAAACAAATGGGAGCCTTTCCATTGACTTTAATGGGGTTTGGGTCAGACTATCGCTGCATTGGCTCCAAATAAAATACAGAGTCCAGTTCAAGGTCTTTCCTGATAGTCAAAACCTTCCATTTAATTGTTCCTAGCTACCTGAGAGATTGTCTCTCCATCCACCACCATGTCCTCCTACAACAGCTATGTTCTATTAAAACCATGAAACTGTCAGCCAATAAGGGGAGCTCATGAGTGTGGGAAACAGAAGTTTTACAGGAGCTGGAGCTAAACTATGGAGTGAGAGATAAGAATGACCATGAACCTCACCACCTCCCAGACTAAATGCAAAACTTGTTTCTCTGAAGTTGCTTTCCCACAATAATTTCTGCACAGAGATAAAAAGAGAAACAAAGATCCTACTTAAACATAAGAAAGAAAAATATTTGAAAAATTTTAAATCCTTGGGAGATGCTCAAATACTATAGTACTGATGAGAGAGAATCTGGGAGGTGTCGCATTGAGCTTCAGATCTGGGAAACCTGAAGTTCTATGAAAAGTACAGTACAAGCCTGGGGACTATGACAGATTGGATATTGTCAGTTGAGAAATCATACTTGATAAGAATGAGATTATTGAGAAATATGGAATTACGGAAAACTTGGGAATCTTAACGCTGTGACTGAAGGAGAATGATCTACTGTCTAGTAATTAAGCACAGGAAAGCAAACACCTTTGGGAGTGAAGGGAATACGCTAATACAGGGCCTGATCTTGCCTCCAAGGATGCAAATAGAAAAACTCCCAATGATTTCAGTGGGAGCAGGATTGGGCCCTTAGGCGAGGACATTAAGAGCTATTTTCAGGTCAGCATCAGTGGAAGAGAAAGACCACCGTCCAAGGCAGGTAATTGTATATGTGAGTTCAAAGGAGATTTTGCATTAATGTTTATTAACGGACAGGAGATGGAAAACAAACCTATTGGGCAGAGAAAACAGATATTAATTCATTCGCTCAGCTAGAGCACCTGTGCAAATATCACCATCCCTATTCAGATAAAACGGAGCACTCCATGGCTGATACGATAATGCCGATTAACACCTGACCACTTCGCAGGGAGCAAAGAATAAAACTGGCAGATCTGCAGAGCAGAAAAGAGATTCTAGTGAGAGAAATGGAGACAAGGGACTTGTCTATACTTACAACACTGCAGCTGCACCCGTCAGCTGTGCCACTGTAGCCCTTCTAGGTACTCCACCTCCCCAAGAGGCAGTAGCTATGTTGACTGGAGAAGCTCGCTGGTCGACATAGCACTGTCTACACCAGGGGTTAGAGCGGTATAACTATGTCACACAGGTGTAGATTTTCCACACCCCTGAGCAATGCAGGTAGACCCACATAAGTTTGTAGTGTGGATCAGGGATAGAGTTGTGGGGGGAATGGTTTGCTCCTGAGAATTTTTGAGATTTTGAATTTTTTCCCATCCCAGAGCAGGACAAAAAGTCAAAACTTTGAAAAAATGTGGCAAACCAAAAATCAGATTTTTTTTTTGATTGGGTCAATCTAACATTACATTTCCATAATTCTGAAACATTTCATTGTGATTTTTAAATGTTTTTGTTACTATAAAGTAACAGATTTCAAAACAAAACATAATTTCCACCTGAAAAACCAGAAATTTCATTTAAAAAAAAAGTCAATATGGGATGTTTCAACAGTTTCAAAATTCATTCCTTTTTGTGTTTGTTTTGTTTTTTATTCGGGGGGGGGGGGGGTGTTTGTTGTTGTTTGCTGTTTGTTTTCCAAAACCCAGGAGATTCGTCAAAAGTGACCCTTCTCTGCAAACAGTTTCTGTTTAAAAGAATCAGTGTATTCTGACCAAAAAAAAAAAGTCTAAAAATTCCCCACTATCTCTCATGGGAACCCCCTTCAGAAAGACTGAACTTCACAGACATCAGGGGTTGGAACAGTGACCCTATGATGACAAGAAAGCCACCTTTCTCATCATGCACTGTGCTACTACTTTCTAAGCACTGAAGTGGGACTTAGGAGACCCGAGTTCTAGTCCTGGCTGGCCTGCTGGGTGACTGTGAGCAAGCCACTTCAATCTGTCTGTGACTCAGTTTCCCCAGCTGTAAAATGGTAATGATGATATTGACCTCCTTTGTAAAGTGCTTTGAGGTCTAGTGATGAAGAGCACTACATCAGAGGTAGGTATTAATAAGGACATGGTCTAATTCTTCTTTAGAAACCTAAATAGGGACTTAGATACTTTACTCTAGGCCCCCAGTTAAAAATATTCTGTCCATAAAGTTGTATGTGAAACCAAGAGAAAGGCCTGACAAAGAAAAGAATTGGCAAGTCACCTTGAAAAATGCCCTCCTCCCCCGGAAATACAAATCTATAGACCATGGAGAGCATGTTCTATCTCTGTCTACATTCAAGATACAGGGACAAAGCCATGCAGGCTTATTCCATCCACTCATGATCCTGAAGCAAGTGCACAAAGAATGCTAAAATCTAAAAGAATCAGCTGACTTTACTCCATCACTACACAGAGGTTAAAGAACAATGGGACCAGCGTAGTCTCTGGATCATGTTTAGGGTTTGGAACTGGATTAATAGAACTCAGAGAAATCAGACTTATGATGCCAGTGTCACAACATACAGCTATGTTGCCCCTAGCTGACCTCAACCTCAGATTAACATGAGGTTTATTACAGGTTAAGCAAAACTGTTATGTAACTAGCAACAACTGAGCAGGACAGAATCAAAACAGACAAGCAAAGAGTCAAGGGCATCTCTGGACCTACCATATCCAGCACCAGCTGGTCGTAGCTTATTTGCAGCAGGTTATTAGAAGTGTAACAAAACAAAAACAAAGGCGATAGGATTGATTTACAACTTTCCTGTATCACTCAGGACAAATACCTAAAATTGAGACACTACTATATTTATGCTTAATCTTTTGCTGATTTGGAGCTATAACTGACCCTGCAGAAGTATTTTCCCTCTAACACTCATACACCGTATCTTATACTTGGCCTCCTCAAATTTCTAAGCTGTCAACATACAGTGCTGAGAACTTATTAAAGATTACAGATGACTGAATCATCATTAAATGATTTTTGAGAGATCCAGGCAAGCATTTATAAAAGAGGTTTCACAGACGGGGAAAAAAGAAGGAAAGCCCCTTTACCACTGATTGGGAACTATATGTAGAGCATCAGAATTAAAGCCTATAAATTAGGCTTGTTTCAATTTGTTGCTGAACAAGACAGAGAAACACTGGCAAGCAGCCCTGATGAGACAGTACTGACAGGAAATAAGGGGAAACACAGTAGCAGACAAGCATACAAGATCTAGTTGATTTCACAATTACATAGAAAAAAATCCCAATGCAGAAGACTATTCCATATCCTGGGTATACTGATTTCTCACAGGGATAATTGTTGATTTGCAAAGAAGTAGCAGGATAGAAAGGAACATTTATATCAAGCCATGGATTTCAATGAGATCTGGAGAATTGAACTTGGTGTTCAGGAGAGAAAAGTAAAATAGGAAGAGGACTTATTGTAATGAAAAGGTTGCTATGGAGCACAATGACAAATAAATATGTTAAACTAACTTAAGGTAAAGTAAGTGGAGAGGAATCTAGCTATGGGAGGATAAAAAAATTAGTTCACAGCTTCAAACTGAGGGGAACATTTTCAGGCAAGAATTGTACTTGTTTACATACTCTGATCACATAGTTGTTATTATTAATGATGTTTATTTGGTGAAGTGCCTAGGGACTAAGGGTGTGCTCTGGAATTTAAATTTGACCATTAGAGTAGCGGCCAGGGGCTAGGTCCAGGGCCAGAGCAGTGGCTGGGGCTGGAGCAGCGGCTGGGGCTGAGGCAGTGAACAGCGGTCAGTCGCTGGGGTTGGGGCAGCAGCTGGGGCTGGAGCAGCAGCTGGAGACTGGGTCCAGGGCTGGAGCAGCAGCTGGGGCTAGGTATGGGGCTGGAGCAGAAAAAAATATATATATATATTTTTTTTAATTAATACTTGGGGGAGGGGGATGCACATGCTTGTTCCCCCTTCTGCACTTTCCTGCCAGGGACTAACCAAGAATGGGCTCCATTGTGCTAGACACTGCACAAACACAGAATAGTAGCTGGTTCCTGCCCCTGAAGAGCCTCCAATCTAAATTGACAAGACAGAAGAAGGGTAAGGAAAAGGGATGTAATAGAGCAATCGACATGATGGCAGAAAATATCATGTTAGTTCCACAGTTGTTATAATTGTTTGGGCTGGATTTAGCATAGGGTGGGATAAACTAAACAGAAAGACAAAGGAAGGGAGGGGATCAGGGGTGGGAGAGACAGAGCGGGGGTAAGAGGGAGGGGAAGGAAATTCGGAGGGGGAGTGACGCTGAGATGAAGGGACTGTGAGCAAAGCGATGGGAGGTGGTTGTAGCAAACAGCCAATCAGCACAGACAAGTCGAAACTGTAGAAAATATTATCAGTATCCATGGGACCCTGCTGAAATTGTTTTGCAGCTGCTCTGCCAGGTTCAGTGTCTGTCTGGCTCCTCCCTGCAGTTTCTTTCTAAAGGTCACATTGCTGGCAGGAGGGGTGACACCACCTGGGTCCTAGTCCTCTCTGCATCTGAGTGTGGGGAGTGCTGGGCAAAATCAGAGGCCACTGAGATTCTCAGATGACTGGAGGAGCAGTGTGGAAGGTTTGCAGTTGTGTTAAGCACAGGGATCAGAGTTTACACCAGGGGTCTCAAACTCAAATGACCATGAGGGCCACATGAGGACTAGTACATTGGCCCGAGGGCCACCTTACTGACACCCCCCGCCACCCTCCGCCCCGCCCCCACTCCACTCCTTCCATGAGGCCCCACCCCTGCCCCGCCTCTTCCCACCCCTTCCCTGCCCCCATTCCAACCCCTTTCCCAAAATCCCCACCCCAACTCTGTCCCCTCCCTGCCCCCAGGGGGTGCAGGAGGGGTGTGGGGTATGGTGGGGGCTCAGGGCAGGGAGTTGGGGTGTGGGGTGCAGGAGGGGTGAGGGGTACAGCAAGGGGTCAGGGTGCAAGAGGAGTGTGGGGTGTGGCAGGGGGCTCAGGGCAGTGGGTTGGGGTGCAAGAGGAGTGCGGGGTGCAGCAGGGGGTTTAGGGCAGTGGGTTGGGGTGCGAGGGTGCAGCGAGGAGGCTCGGCAGGGGTCAGAGTGCAGGGTACGGCA